GGGGGGTCTATTATATGTGCAGGGGTAGGTTTTTTTGTGTGTAGGGGGGAGTGTATTATTTTATATTTGCAGGGATAGTTTTTTTTATGTGTATGGGGAGAGTGTATTAGGCTACATTCACACCTGTATCTTTAGGTGCAATTAAGAATTCCTGCATCAGGAACATGTGTTTTCCTGCAGCAGGAATGCCTAATATGGTGTTTACAATGACAGCTATCACCTATTCAAGTTAATGATCAGGTGACAGCAGCTGCATGTAAACACCTGCATACCACATGTAAAGATATGTGATATGATTACATTTGGTTAGGTATCAGTCACTCTACCAGGACGCATCGATTGTGCATCCAGGGAGAGTGTTTTCTAACCGAATGTAATTATAAATTATATGACATACCATTACATGCGGTGTGTAGGCGTTTACATGCAGCGGCTATCACCTGATCATTACCTTGAACGGGTGACAGCTGCCACTTGTAAACAACAGATTAGGCATTCCTACTGCAAAAAAACGATTCCTGATGCAGGAATCCTTAATTGCACCTAAACTTATAGATATGAATAGGACCTTATTGGGGTCCGTAGTACCATAACGGATATAATTACATTTTATTTTGATGTACGAAATTTGGCAAGCTGGCCCCCATGGGAGAAAAAAAAATTGCAGAGTGGCCCCCGAGTCAAATTAGTTTGATACCCCTGCCATAGACTTTAATGGAATTGTATAAAAATATAAATGTGTTTTTGGTGCATTTCTGATATGATATTTTGTTGCTGGATGGTGGATGTCGAAGTCTTCATCCACCTGGTTACAGCAAGGCCATTGTGGTCCCATCCACATCTAATACAAAGTTCACAGCAAGCATCATAAGGCATGTGAATAAATTGAATAATAATAAAAGTCTGCGCTCTTTGGATAAAACTAAAAAATAAAATAAACCACAAAGCTGCTATGAAAGAAGTTATGAACCTGGAAAAGCTAAAGTAAATGACACAGCGCTAAGCTTTGTGTTATTTACTTTAGCATGTGAATAAATTGCCTGAGAAGTGTTTGAATATTGGTTTGTTTTACCCTCATTCAAAACTGCACAAAGTAGGCTTATGTTATTAGTATATCATTATTTATTTTACAGCTGTGCTCAAAAGTTTGCATACCCTTGGAGAATTGGTAATATATATATATAATTTTTAAAGAAAACATGAGCAAGCAAAACACATTTCTTTTATTTCTTATGGGATTCATATTCAACTGTAGGGCATAACAGAATGGCACAATCATTAAGCAAAACATGGCAACAAATAAAAAAATGAAATGACCCCTGTTCAAAAGTCTGCATACCCTTAGTTCTTAATTCTGTGTATTGCCCACTTTAGCATCAATGACAGTGTGCAGTCTTCTGTAATAGTTGTCTATGAAGCCCCAAATTCTTGCAGGTGATATAGCTGCCCATTCTTCTTGGTAAAATGTCTCTAGGTCAAGTATTTGGTCATCTTGCATGAACTGCTCGTTTGAGATCCCCCAGAGTGGCTCAATGATATTAAGGTCAGGAGACTGTGATGGCCACACCAGAACCTTCACTTTTTTCTGCTGTAACCACTGGAGGGTCAACTTGGCCTTGTGCTTAGGGTCATTGTCGTGCTGGAAAGTCCAAGAGTGTCCCATGCACAGCTTTCGTGCAGAAGAATGCAAATTGTCTGCTAGTATTTTCTAATATGCTGCATTCATCTTGCCATCAATTTTCACAAGATTCCCTGTGCCTCATTTTTGTTCAAGTTTCATAATATTGTGCTCCTTGAAACAACCACACTGTCTTTTTCCAGAGCAGCCTGTATTTCTCCTGAGGATACCTTTTGGGGTTTTCTTTGTATCCTGGACAATTCTTCTGGCAGTTGTGGCTGCAATCTTTCTTGGTCTACCTGACCTTGGTTTGGAATCAAGAGATCCCCGATTCTTCCAGTTAATAAATGATTGAACAGTACTGACTGGCATTTTCAAGGCTTTGGGTATCTTTTTAAATCATTTTACATCTTTATAAACTTTCATTACCTTTGTTACGCAAGTCTTATGACAGTTCTTTTCTGCTCCCAATGGCTCAGTTTCATTGACTATTTATGCACAGACACTAATTTCAATTTAAAAGCCACAGATGTGGTAAATTAACCCTTTAATTGCCTTTTTTTTTAAAATTGACAATTTTTTATTGGTTTGTCAAAAAGAAACAAGACATACATCATGATGACAAAATAGCAATAAAGAAAGCCAGACCGGCAATGGGTTTAGAGACATTGGTAATGTATAAGCATGGCATCACAGCACTTCTGTCTTATATCATTGCTAATCCATTGGTTTAAGTAATGCTAGTAAACTTAGACAAGTAATACTATATCTGCTACAACTATGCACTGTTTGTAAGAACCCACGCCTGTCCAGCTTTCAAATCCTAATATGTCTTAGCCTAAAATCAGGAAAGAAAAAGAAAGGAAAGAAGAAAAAGGGATAGAGATAGGATGTGACATTCCTCCGAATGAAGCCTATATAGTAGTGGTTTGAACCAGGACGTTCCCCATCGGGTTTCTGGCAGAAACTATTTTGTCGTATTCGACCCTTGGTCGGGCTACAACCCTTATACATTCAAGTATGTATTCTGTTATGTCCTTGTGTACCTCCTACTTGATCCTCCCTGCTGGTCCAGGCACCCCAAACCTTCTTGTGCGTCATTAAAGTGTTGTTAAGCCTTGCCGTTAGATATTCCATTGTCTGGACCTCTTTGACACGGGCATAAAGATCTGTTCTGGAAGGGGGATGTTTTCTTTTCCATTGAAGCTTGATAACACCTAATAATGAGGAGATATTGCTTGTCACTGGCCAAAGGAAAAAATGCTTGAAACTTGAAAATCCTAACCCAGCACACTGATTCAATGGTCAGGTTGTTGCAGTGTTAAGGGACAGACAGTCTTGCAGGGAGATGAGAGAGATGACACACAGATTCTGGATGATAGGAGATCCTCATTTAGATTGACACTTTAACCGTTTAGGTTGAGTCAGCTCCTAGGCTTCAGTTCACCTGCTTGTCAGCAGACTCAGAAAGGGAACTGCAGAATCAATTTATGAATTGGTTCATTTGAATGAAAAATTCAAAATTAACTGACTTATGTAAAAGGAAAGCACTCCTCCACCCATTGCAAGGTGTGCTGGCTGCAATAGAACTACAGGGGGAAGGTTATTAGACCACTGGCTAGGGTGATAGACTGCGCAGTGACCAGTGGTCTACCTGGAAATAAAGGCGGCAGAGGGAAACAAGCACAGGCTTGTACCATGGATTTCTGGAAGACTACATTGCTATGCAGAAAGGTAAGCATATATTTTGTAATACTTCCATAAGCTAGTTACAGTAGGCTGAAAAAATGTTTTCCCAGAGTTCTCCTTTCAGTGATCTTTCTGACAGGACAGGAAAGCTGATCTCAGGTCTTATCATGGGCGATCTACTTGCTTATGTGCTGTCCTGTGAATTCTTTTAGCCCCCCCCAATCGTCAACTAGGACAGCACATGGAGACAGTAAAAAGGAAACCCATCAACAAAAACACTTTAAAAAGAAATCCTTCTGCCTAACTGTTATCCCTCTGCCAACAGTTATTCTGTTTCCTCCATTTGGAACCTAGTGGAAGGAGGCTCAGCTCAGGATTCTCATTTGCAGTCTTCCATCCACAGTTTCACCATCTTGATGGTGGGGTCTCTTCCATCCTTGCCCCCCAGCTTCTCCCTCTTTACTTGGAAAAGATGTATCCCTTTGGTGGACTTGGGCTGGTGTGGTTTCCTTCTGGCAGCAGGGGATGCAAGTTCACTTATTCACTTGATCGGTAGGAGAGGGGGCTCTTCTTGCCAAGGTTCCCACGGAAAGTAGTGTGAAGACAATGTCTGTCTTCACACTACTCTGTCAGTGACAGAC